GGGGGGGGGGGGGTCGCCGCACACACTCTGCTTTCCCATTGGTCAGCGGCGTTCCCTCTGTTTTCACATCGCTGCCGTCAGTTGTGCTTTCAAGTTTGTTTTACACATTCTGGCGCACATACACACCACACATGTGCATGCACGCGTAAATATACACATCGGGGTCCAGGGCCTGCACACGTGCACACTCGGATACGAGACTCTACACACACATACACACTGTCAGCGGCAGAGTGAGCAGTTGTGACCACGCAGTGCAGAGGAGAGTGAGGTGGCCTGAGGCTGTGAGTATGAAGCCAGAATCAGTAAATGTTTATGCTGGATGGATAATGAATATCACTGGTTTGCTGTCTAAGTGTTTTACTTATTTGTATAACACCAGCTGAAGCTCTTTCTCTAGCCTCTTGTTTTTTCGGCGGACTAGTCTTGCGGTGAAGATTTTAGATTCAAACGTGACCTTGTGCTGTCACCACCTTTGTACGTCGCCTGTGGCTAAACTGTAAACTTGTTTAACTACTTAGCTGTTAAAATGTAACAAGTGTAGTAGTTTAACAGTGCAGCAGGTGTTGTTTTAACTCCTTAGGAATAGCTTTTGGCATAATTAAAAAAAATCTAATCTTTGTGATAATTGTAGCTTTTGATGATCATAATTGCTCATCTTCTTCCCTCTGGGAGTTTTTTTTTAGATCTCATTAAGTTGTGGGAAGGTTGTTTATGGTAGGGTTCTTGTTTTAAATCATTTACTTCATGTCTAAAGCTGTTCAGTGGCAAAGAGGCTTCACAGTTCTTTGCAGATCACTCCTCTCATGAGGGGCCACTCTGAAGCAGGGTGGGCTTACCACCTTACCTTATCTCAACTACTCTACTGCGAGCCCATGAGGGCCGTGATGGATGGAAAGAATGACGTACCTTCCAGCTCAAAAGCCACTTTGTTACAAAATGTGAATTTTGTGTTAGTCAGGTGATCATAACTAAGTTTACTGCTGTATTTAAAGGTCTGACAGTCATTTTAATATATTATTTTATATAGGTTCAAATCTTGTGTTTTTTAATTTGCATTAGGAATATTCCTTTAAAATTTGTTACAGCTAAACACAACTCTCTCTCCATCCCCTGACTGCTCTGAAACGTCTGAATCAGTTCCTCCTGCCTTTTTTCTTGAAATCTTGAATAAGTTGTACCTCTTTTTTTTTCCACGTTTCTCATTTTCATGTTTTTTTTTACGCACTCTTCCCTTCCCTCTCTAGAAATAAAAAGCCTCTTGTTTTAAAAAATCCTAGATTAACAATGTAATATTATGAGTTGGGAATATGTAAGGATTG